CACTCCTCCATAGTGTATTCTGCCTATTCTTGAGCTATTATGAACTATTTTTTTTAAAAAAAGAGAAAAAGAGTTTTACTCACATTAGTTGATCCTGGAAAGCAGCCATGGTATAAAATAAAAAGAATGGTCTAAGAAAAGAATGAGGGGTAAGAGTTTTATATGCAGCATTCCTGGCTATCTGCTGTGTGAATGGAGCAAGTCACTTAACCTCCAAAATGTAGCCATTCCCAGACTCAGTAATATCCTAACATCAATTGACGCTAAGGAAAAATTTTAAACAGTCCGTGTCACATCAGCAAAGTTCCAATTCAGAACTTTGAAGCCGAATGTTTCTATATTCAACTCCTTTCCTTGATTAATCCCTCCTAATGGCATTATACTGGTTTTTGCACTAGAGCAAGATATGAGACACACAGATAGGGTCTTGCTTTCTGTGTAACAATTTAGCGCTCTGTGCATAATAAGATTTGATAAACATGTGCTATTTATAGTGTGAATGATTTCAGTTTCTACACCTCTAAAATTAAGCGGTGGAACAAGATGATTTACTAAGTTTTTAATCTCAAATACGTGATTATTACATATAACCATTTTTTAACTTTATACTTACAGTCATGGTTACCACATGACATGAACATCTTTACTGAAATTGGCATGAATCACATTCTAATGGAGTTCTATCAGTGTACAAACCAATAACACCTCATAAAAAACTAACTAACCATGTGTGTCTATTCATGATTGCAAGGGAGAAATAAACCTACCACAAGTAGCAACAGTATGGTTTTTGTCACCACTTTTTAAAAATCTCCCCTCATGTAACCCTAAACTCCCAGTGGAAAATCACATCCTTTCTTTTGGCAATGCCAGAAAATGTTTCAAATTTATTTTGCTGAAATATATCTTGACATCTTTGTATTTATACTGTTAAACCATGTTTAATCATCCACTTCCTAAGCTGCCTTGTGAGGACTGTGATCAGAGCAAAGTCTTTCCCAACTCCTGCTTTTTCTTTTATTAATTCAACTTCCTAAATTCAATCATTATGATCTTTGGCCTAATATCCTTTCATAGGACACATGGCATTGTAACATAAAACGACATAAGCTGAAAGTAAATTCTATGAGAAATACTCTCTAGATAATCCAGTGATTTCATCTTTCATAAAGTGTAAATTTCATTCAAAAACTTTTTGTCATGGGCCAGCCTGGTGGCGCACTCGGTAGAGTGTGGTGCTTGGGAGCACAGCAGCGCTCCTGCTGAGGGTTCGGATCCCATATAGAGACCGGTCCGCTCATTGGTTGAGCACGGTGCGAGCGCGACACCGAGGGTTGCGATCCCGTTGCCAGTCGGGGTACAGGCGCGACACTGAGGGTTGCGATCCCGTTACCGGTCAGGAAAAGAGACAAAAAGAAAAAAAAAAAAACTTTTTGTCATTTGTTTCTAATTACTGGATATGAGTTTCATCCCTTCTTTTAAATTAAATTGGAATGGAACTGGTTTTGTTCCATATATCCTCCTGAGTAATAAATGTTTCCTCAAGTATCAATGTCTGAAGTTCAGGAGAGATTCAATTTCTGGAGACATCTATGAATTTCTATGAATATTTAATCATAGTTTCTATCTGGCTGATTATAGAGACTGTCATCTTGTTAATCTAAAAATTATATAAAGATAGTTTTACATGGAGGACAGTCCGTGGTTAATAATTCTTTTCTGATGACAAGGATTGGTGAATATGACCCCCAAAACATATCATTTTATGGGTAAAAGTCACCTTCTCAGGTGATACAATTGCAAACACAAAACTGAAGCTGAGGCTCCAGTGGAAATTAGAGCCTTGTTTGGAAACAAAACAAGGGCAAACGTTATTTGGTGAGTACTAGCTGAGCAACAAGGAAAAAACAATTTGGAAATGTATCTATTGTATATATATACATATATATATATATATACATAATTTTTAATGCAGCATTTGAACAATCATAGGGCCCTTAAAAAACAAAAGCTGGTTTAAAGAGTAACAAGATAAAAATGCTGACCCTCACAAACAGAGGAACTGGCCACAGCTTATAAAAGCCCCAATGTGGAATAAGCAGCCATAACTCAGAAGCTCCTCCAAGTAACCCAGCCCTCAGACCAACTCCTGACACCATGGCCTGCTGCTCCACTAGCTTCTGTGGATTTCCCAGCTGCTCCACTNCATAAACAATGAAGAATCCCAACGAACTTCTGAACTCCAATACCCATTACCCAGCTTGCAACCTGTCACACAGCTACGTAATCCTTTCCCAGGATATAAGTTCATTTACAAAGAAAGAACAAAAACATTCATAGCCCTGGATATCAACAGAAGCCCTACAATGTGAAAAGGGATGTCTAATATTTTACTATAAATATCATCTACAATACTCAACAGCTCATTGGGATTTGGATTTAATAAAAAGATTTTTATCTCTTCAGTGATGAAATCATTGTTAGAACTTTCTTTTCTTTGAAATTTGTTCATAAAATTGACATACTGGGATTTTTCAAAATCTCAATATGATGTGACACTATGGTTTCTCTCTCTCTCTCTCTCTCTCCCTAATGGTCTTTAAAGTGGTTTTTCTTTGTCTAAAATATATGATTTTAAAAGCACAACAATACTTAGGAACAATTTCCTAAAATCCTCACCCATGCAAGGTGGTGGGCTAGGTGCTCCAAAGGATCAATTTTACAGAAAGGAAAAAGGAATTTCATGTCATTCAGCTTCTTGTGGTGTTGCCAAATTCTTTCATTCCTTCATTCATATGAGTTTGTGTACAGTTTCTTTAATTATCAAAGGTATAAAAGACCATAACACAAAACGAGAAAGACAATAAATACAGATTGTAAAATAACAGTTATAGTCCCAGTTTTGTAACTAACAATTTATGGATTCCTGAGTAAGTCCCTTTACTTGCCTGGGCACCCATTTCTAATCTGGATAGTGAGAGAATTGAGTTTTATTGCTTACAACGTCCCTTCCAGGCATAGGAGAGTAGATCCCTAAACAAGTGGCACACTGACAATTAATCCTTTCTGATGCCTAAAGGGGAAAATGTATTCAATAAAGTTGTATGCATTATTGCCATCTTGAAGGTTTATAAAGCACATGATAACATTAAAGAGACTGAGATGCCCTGCAATAAAGAAACTCCTATAACCACCACTCCCAAACTGATTTAGCCAGGAAATTTTCTTTTCTTGTATTAGCTGTTAGTATTCTGTAACACTAATGCTCCTCAAAATATACTCTGGAAAACGATGAAAGGAAATATCAACTGATGTTTTTATAATACCTATACAATCCTCTCTTGCATTTTGAAGCTTAAAATAAACATTCATTACAGGGGTGGATTTAAATAAACATGATATTGATCATACACGACCACCATTCTTCTTCTAATCTCCAGAGAGAGAATTCTGGAATAAAACAAGAACAAAATAAAAGATGCATAATGGGGCTTCCATTCCAAGAGATAAAATCTTTGGTCATAAAATCAAAGTGGTTAGCTAGGGACTGAGAGAAGAGAGGTATGGGAAGTGATTACTTAAAGGTTATGGGATATTCTTCTGGGATAATGAAAAAGTTTTGAAACTAGAGAGAAGTCATGGTTGTACAATATTATGAATGCACTAAATCACTCAGTTATGCACTTTAAAATGGTTAATTGTATGCTATGTGAATTTCAACTCAATTTTAAAAAGAGAAGGGCCTTTGCTAGCACAACTTCACTAAAAATTTTAAAAAGCACCATCTTTGGGTAGACACAGACCCAGGGGTACACAGTTTGTTGCACCTACAGCATCCTGGTGTGAAGAACAATATGCTCCTTCCTCTGAACGGATAGAGCTTCACATCACGGCATGACCTATATGTCTATACTCAAGGGCCATCCCACGGGGCCAACAGTTTATTCCCCTCACGTGAAGCTCTCTTGTCTCCCAACAGGATGAGGAAGTTTAGGCTGGAAGCACATTTTACTTAGAAAGGCTTCAGCTCAGAAACTCTAAAAAGAGCCACGTTGACATTCAGGAGACAAGAGAGAGATCTTGTTATTTGGTTTAGGGTAAAAATTGGAGGTGAGAGGAGGTCCTCGATGTTTATGTGTTGTTCAGTCCAGGTCACTAGGATGGAAGCCCAGAAGAGAAGCACAGAAGCCCTGGGCAGGAATGGTGTGTTCATTTGACTGTTGTATCAACCATGGCTTATATCTCAAGAATCTAAGTAAGGCAGTTGCAACCAGATTAGAGAACTAGGAAAATGGAAGTGAAAGAACTGGGAGATCCCCAAAAACTTGTAACTGGAAAATCAAAACCCTGACATCTTAAAGGAAAATAATTCAAAACATTAGTGTCCGTGTTCAACAGAAGTCAAATATTCAAGAGTAACAGACAGACATTCTTTCTTCTTATGGTACTGGAATTGTCTGGGCCCCAAAACTTAAATGAAGTAATGAAAACCAAAGAGAATTAGCACAGTAATAAGAAAGTATGATATATAAATACACAGTGGGATAATACTCAGCCTTAAAAAAAGGAAGGAAATCCTGTCATTTACAACATGAATGAACCTGGAGGGTAATATGTTAAGTGAAATAAGCCAGGCACAGAAGGATAAATACCGCATAATTTCACTTATATAAGGAGTCTAAAAAAGTTGAACTCCTAGAAGTAGAGAGTAGAGTGGTGGTTACCAGGGGCTGGGGAAGGGGAGTTAGGAGATATGGGTCAAAGGATAAAAATTTCAATCAGGAGGAATATGTTCAAGGGATCTCTTACAGAACACAATGACTGTAGTTAGTAATGTATAGCATCCTTGAAAATTGCTAAGAGAGTAGATTTTAAGAGTTCTCACCTCAAAAAAAAAAGTATGTGAAATAAGGTATATATTAATAAGCTCAATTTAGCATTCTACAATGGATACATATTCAAAACCACATGTGGTACACAATAAATATGTACATTTTATTTGTCAATTAAAAATAAATAAATGAAATTTAAATATAAAGATACTGTGTTTCTTCCTCAAAGAAGACCACAGAAAGAGGTGCCCAGCATTTAAACATCATAGTAAATCTCCACAGAGAAACATCACAGATGATTTCGGCTTGTTACTCATATTCCATGGAAACCAATCAAGAAGACATGGGTTTATATGGTAGGAGAAAAGATTCTGGTTAAATTTTATTTTCTTGATTTACTTAGGAGAGGTAAGGGAATGTTCAGATTAGTCTTTATTCTGTGGCAGAGGATTAGTATTCTCAAATTTCAAGTATCAGATCCTATTCTTAATAATTCTCTAAGGGTAACTAAAGAGCCGAAACATGAAAATTGAATTAAATTCTGCACTGAGGGAAATGTTAAAAACAGTGCCACGGTAGAAAAGCACATAAATGGAGACCCAATATGTAATAGTACTCTCTCCAGTGCCCTTGTTAGTAATTTACTTCAACTCTTCAAATAGCTAAATGTTTTGCAAAGGGAGATAAATCTTTTAGTACCAAAGATTCAGCCAAATTTAGATATAAATTAAATAGATCCTGAGATTGTAATCATAACAAATCCACATATTTCAAGCATCCCAAGTAAAAAATTAGCTAATCCAAGAACCTGTGATGTACCTTTGCTTTAGAAGAAGCACAAGCTTCACAGAGAATCACAGCTTTTAATTCAAATTTGATATGGGATTTGAAAAATATATCTTAGTTCTGACTTGGGAAAAGTTATGACCTAAACTTATGAACTAACACTTGATGTTCTGGTTCAAACCTTGTGTCATTTTAAATCCCATTTCTCTATAATCAAGCCCACACTCCTTGCAGGTCAGGTCACCTTCCATTGCACTTCAACAAAACCCTCCCCTTGACCTTCATCAGTTGCCTCATTCAAGTTATATAAACTTTCCATCTGACTGGACTGGTTTTTAAAACCTACAATAAACTGCATACTGCAGATCTAACACACTATAGTATATCACGTACTCCAGGGTTACGTTGAATGTGACTATTATTCAGTTAACATTTAAATCTATACAACATACCAAGATAAAAGATTAGACTAAGCTACAAGTCAGGTAAGTTCACTTTTTTTTTTTTTTTTGGCCTTTTTGTGACCGGCCGCACCGCGCTCAGCCAGTGAGCACACCGGTCATCCCTATATAGGATCCGAACCCGCGGCGGGAGTGCTGCTGCGCTCCCAGCACTGCACTCTCCCGAGTGCGCCACGGGCTCAGCCCGTAAGTTAACATTTTTAGCACTTGAGATTTTCTTGAAGTATGCTTACTATGCTGTTAAAAAAATAAATAAGTAAAATCTCTAGGAAAGTCTCCAATAGACAGTGTTATTACTTACCCTGAGCTCTGCCTTCCTTCCCTTTACTCTCAAAAGAGTCTGTAATGAAGTGAGCAAATTTTCATATCGTGCTTTCACCCTTTGATTTTCCTTAGAACAATCGCTTACATCAAAAAAAAAAAAAAGAGGGAATTGACTATAGTGGATAAAAGAGTTTAGTTTGGAGTTAGGTGCTGTGGGTTCAAATCTCAGATTCACCACTTGTTAATGTGAACTTGGGCAAGTTACTTAAAATCATGTTTTCCTCACATGAATCATGGGGTAGCAATGGAACATACACCATAGGATTGCACTGAAAATTAGTGAATTGATACAGGCAAAGTATCAAAACCATTGAGGCTCATAACAAGTGCTACAAAACTGTTATCCATAACAATTCATCCACATTTTCCAGGCCTGAAGAAAGCATCCCTTCTGGCCAACTGCATCTAGCCTTGCTCCACAGTCAAAGCGAAGATGAAAAAGTTGAGAAGGAGCAGCAGTCAAAATTAGAGGCCACGTTGCTGGAAATTAAACCGTCATGTGAGACCCAACAGCCCAATTGTAAGGATCAACACTGAGTAATATTGACACTCCTAATAGGTGAGGCATCAGTCTATTATTCTTTGGGCAATGAGAAAATTTTAACAAATGTGGGGATTAGGGGTTATGCTCCCAACGAATACTAATGACTATGTGACCATGGTAAAAAAAAACCTTAATTGAAGACCAAATATAATCAACTTTTAAAGGCTTTCAGAAGGTTGAACAAATAACTCCAGGGCAGGCCAATTATCATTCAGGGGCAAATTCTTTAAACACAAACAAGGAAGAGACTTTGGGAATTATGTAAATAGTAGTTGGCCAGGGCTTATAAAAGGCCCAGCGTGGAAGTCACCACCAAAACCCAAAATCTTCTCCAAGCAACCCATACCTCAGACCAACTCCTGACACCATGGCCTGCTGTACCACTAGCTTCTGTGGATTTCCCAGCTGCTCCTGTTGTGGGAACTGTGGCTCCAGCTGCTGCCAGCCAAGCTGCTGCCAACCAAGCTGCTGCCAGCCGAGCTGCTGCCAGACCAGCTGCTGCCAGCCAAGCTGCTGCCAGACCAGCTGCTGCCAGCCGAGCTGCTGCCAGCCGAGCTGCTGCCAGCCAAGCTGCTGTGGAACCAGCTGTGGCACTGGTGGTGGCATTGGCTGTGGCCAGGAAGGTGGCTGTGGAGCTGTGAGCTGCCGTGTCAGGTGGTGCCGTCCAGACTGCCGCGTGGAGGACACCTGCCTGCCCCCTTGCTGCGTGGTGAGCTGCACACCCCCAACCTGCTGCCAGCTGCACCATGCCCAGGCCTCCTGCTGCCGCCCATCCTACTGTGGACAGTCCTGCTGCCGCCCACTCTGCTGCTGCTACTGCTGCCCACCCACGGGCTGTGAGTCCACCTGTTGCCAGCCCACCTGTTAAAAGTTAGGTTGATGACTTTCAACTTCAAGTTTCAAGTTTCAACTCAACTCAGTAACTAATTATCTCTTCAACCATTCCTGGGTCAATAACAAATTCTTGAACTTTTATTTGGCTTTTGTCATGGGAGTTACCAAATATTTGGACCTCACGGACCTATCTGATTCCACTGAACAATGGAAAGACCTTGATCTCCTCTCAAAGAATGTCAAAGTACAAATTTGACCCAAGAGATCCAAAAGCAAATCTACCTTGGGATTGACCCTCAGCAAGAATTTAACTCCATGCTCCGAAGCTCAGGGCTGCTATGGAAGAACCATCCATCCTCAGATATATTCACCTTCTCTATTCCATCGCCCTGCAATTGCATTTCTAGTGAAGGGAGAATAATATACCAAGATCTAATAAATTATATTTATTGGTGCAGCTAACATATCTCTTTTTGTTTTCATTGAATGTATATGCATTTCATAGAAAAGATTTTGATCTGATTTTGATATCCCACATTGCTGTTCTAATACCATGTTAGGAGATTTGATTAGGTCCAGTGGCGGTTAATCCCCATAAAAGATACAATAAAAGCAGTTATTTAGGGCCTCAGAAACAGCACAAGTTCTGTTACCGTATCTTGACCTCGCACAGTGCTTCCACAGCCAGAGAGTTATAGAAGCCGGATCTCTAAATGAAGAGACAGAAAATTACTTATTTTTCTGTCTGCTAAAGAAATGCATTAAGGCAATCTTTAAATAATGGAAATGTATGCTAATAAATCACACTCTTCCATTCACATGTAGTCTTGCAAGGAAGAGTAAGAGAAGTATAAGACGGGGAAACCTCTCTCAGGAAAGATGTTCTCAATTAGAAGGAGGTTTTTACTACAAAAAACTTTCCCCTAGTTTCTAAACAAGAACTGAGGACAACAAAGGTTTTGCTCTATTTTTAGAGTCAATATATCTACTTTGATTTAAATGTTCACTTAACAAAAATACACACATATTTATTACATATAAAAGTACATTTATATATAATACACATGTGCCACAAATTTATACACACTTAAACACAAGTATCAGGAAATGCTCCATAAATTTGGCTGGTATTTCACACAAGGATCAGGATTAATTCATGGTTCCTTGGACTTAGAACTGGAGGGGGGTACTGAGGTATTTTTTATATAAAATGTTATTTTGGTTAAAATTACAATACTTTATGAATTCAAGGGTTAATGAAAATCAGGAAATTAGAAGGCATCAATAAAAGCTAACATACATAAGCAAAGAATTGATTTCCCTGGCCCAAATCAGGTCTCTATCATCTAGACCTGATTCAATCCAGGAAACACCCTTGGATGCTGGGGCAGAAATGGAAACATGTCCTGTCCTCTTGTCCCTTTGATTGTAACTACTGACCACTTTCAGGTATTACTACTTAAACAGTTCCTGCTGTAAGGGAAAAATAAAATGACAATTAACTTAGGTAAAATACAAATTTGGCTTTTCATCATTACTATGCACTGAAAATCATTCATTCCCTCTTTATTCAACGAGCATTTACTGAGTATCAACATGCAAGATGGTGCCAAGGTGAATCATACATGGTCAGATTATATCCTTAAGGAATGAACTATCTAGTAGAGCAATGATACAATTTTAGCCCTGGAAGGTGTCTGAGAGATTATCTCGTTTTACAGATGAATAAAAAAAATATTCT